TGAAACAGAAGGAAAACATCTGTTTCTTACATTTATAAAGCCAACAATAACCTCTACATTCTGACAGAAATCGTGTGTATGCTGGCAGGCCAAGGGAAAGCACTTAATCAGGAAGTGACCAATTAAATAAAATATAGGCTCCTCAGACACTGACCCAAAGAAGCAGCACAGACTTCAGCTCCCTAGATTCATGGCCTGCCCTTGATTCTGGAGCCCAAATGGTGATCAGTTATGTTTTCTCTTTGTGTTCGGAGGGAAAAAAATGCTTTTTCAGAGCAAATCACTTATTTTAGGTTTAAGAAAAAATTAAGTCTCCATGAAAGAGGGAACACACTGAGTCACCAACATACTACATCACTGAAGATACACAGAACACCAGATGCTTCGCAGTTATGCTAGCTGGCCATCGGGGTTCCTCTAGCTTAAATGGTGCAGCACATGTAAAGTAAAACATCTAATTTCAATTATACAGGCAGTCCCCGGGTTACATACAAGATAGGGACTGTAGGTTTGTTCTTAAGTTGAATTTGTATGTAAGTCGGAACTGGTACATATTGTAAGGGAAACTCTAGCCAAACATTTCTCCAGAGCTTAGTTTTATTCTCCCACACCTCACTTCCCTCAGTCCTTTATTCTCAAGCTGAGGTGTCTGCTGAGAAAAGCCGCTCCGCGTCTCCCTGGTCTGCTGGGGAGGGGCACTAGCTTCACGTCTCCCTGGTCTGCTGGGGGGAAGCAGCTAGTGCGGGGTTGCCTCACCCCGTTTGTAAGTGGGGATCCGATGTAAGTCGGATCCATGTAACCCGGGGACTGCCTGTATACTGAAATACCACCATCTACCTACCTATCTATATGTTTCTAATACTTCCTTCCTCATTGCCTCTAACTGAAAACAGAATGAGATCTTCAAGGTTTGGCAGTTACTTCTAAAGCAGTGGTTCTTAAACTTTCCAGACTATGGTGCCCCTTTTAGGAGTTTGATTTGACATGTATACCCCCAATTTTCACTTCCGTTAAAAACCACCTGCTGACAAAAATCAGATATAAAAATATAAAGAAGCGTCACAGCACACTATTACTCAAAAATTGCTTACTTTCTCATTTTACCATGTAATTATAAAAATACATAAATTGAAATATAAATATGGTACAGGATGAACCTCTCTAGTCTGGCACCCTGGGGACCTAACTCGTGCCAAACCAGAGAATTTATAGGACTAAGGGAGATCAATGCAGAGCTCCAGTAGGTCTCCATATTTGGCGGAAGTATATGTGAGGGGGTGCTGCAGCAGTGTGTCCCTCAGCTCCTGGTGCCAGACTGGGGCTCTGCAGCCACTTCACCTCTTCTCTGCCTCCTCCCCCAAATGGGCCCTTGAATACCATGAACAGCTGATTCACTACACTCCAGATGCACTGGGAGGAAAGAGGAGGAGACTATCAGCGCAAGAACATTGGAACGTGAGAGAAGCAGGGGAAGGGGCACAGAGGAAGGAGCTTTGCACGAATGGGTGCTCAGCACCTATTAATTTTTCCCTGTGGATGCTCCAGCCACAGAGCACCATGGAGTCTGCACCTACACCAGACGATGGGTGTTGCTAGACCAGGGAATTCTAGATTACAGAGGTTCAACCTGTACTTACACTTCAGTATATAATATATAGAGCAATATAAACAAGTATGTACACATCTGTATGAGATTTTAGTTTCTACTGACTTCACTAGTGTTTTTTATACAGCTTGTTGAGTCGATGTACCCCCAGAAGTCCTCTGTGTACCTGCAGGGGCACACATACACTGATTGAGAATTGCTGCTCTGAATAGCCAAGTAACCTCTCCCAGAAAAATTGCCAAATATGGAAAGCAGATTTAACAGAATGACATATTACTAAATATTGCTGGGTAATCTTGTCACACCCTTATCTGGACACAAGCACAATGTCATACAAGCTCAATATAAGTGTTCTTAATCCCTAATAGAGCCCCTCAATAAATCGAAGAAAAATCTAAAACTTTATAAGCCTGTGCAATATAGTTTATTAAAAACCTATATATGTGAAGAGAGAACAAGAAAGAAATAGATTTAAGTATGGTTCAAAATGACAGGATCAAGATCAGTGCTTACAATCAATCTGTTTCCAGGACACTGTATTAAAAATATTAACTTTTTCAAGGAACACTGTAAACAAAGTACCAGACAGAAGGTAAACTTTTCACATATTATTCGTTATGACTAAAATTATAAATACAAAATCTGTAGGTACAGGCAGTCCCCGAGTTACGCGGATCCGACTTATGTCGGATCCGCAGTTACGAACAGGGCTTTTCTCGCCCCAGAGGACGGGAGCGGCGGGACGCCCAGATGCGCCGCGGTCCACCGCCCCCGTCCTCTGGGGCGAGAAAAGCTGCTCCCCGTCTCCCTGGTCTGCAGGGAGACGGGGAGCAAAGCCTTGGAGCACACCCGCAGCGGGACAGCCCAGGCGCGCTTGAGCTGTCCCCCTGCGGGCGTGCTCCGCAGCTTTGCTCCTGTCCCCCTGGTCTGCTGGGGGGTCCAGCAAAGCCGCTGGACCCCCCCAGCAGACCAGGGGGACAGGAGCAAAGCCTTTTCCCGAAAAAACTTCCCCTGCGTCCAGACTCAAGCCCCGTTCTTTCGAAATTAAATCGAAAGAACGCGGCTTTTCTTTCGATGGCGGTAAACCTCAATTTACGAGGAAGAACACCTTCTTTCGAAAGTCCCTCTTTCGAAAGAAGGCGTTCTTCAATGTAAAGAAGCCATCTTCGAAAGAGAGCATCCAGACTCGCTGGGTGCTCTCTTTCGAAAAAGCGGATTTCCTCTATCGAAAGATCCGCCTGCAGTCTAGACGCGATCTTTCGAAAGAGGCTCTTTCGAAAGATGCTTTCAAAAGAGCCTCTTTCGAAAGAAGTCTGCAGTCTAGACATAGCCCTACAGTGGAGTGCCCACAGGGACACCCATCTTGAAGAACACCAGTTAATGCACAAGGTGAGTGACGTCTCTTATTTCCAGCTGTACCTGAGGGTGACTATATTCAGTATGTATATAAAAATACTTACACTGAGTCTGTGATCTGGTAAATGTCACAACATAAAGTAAGTCTGAAAACAACGCCCCCCCCCCCCCATTTTTACCACCTTTTAGGTCAACACCAGATCTAGCCGCGGTTGAAACTGATCAGTTTCAGCAGCGGCTGACGCCAGTTCCGACTTACATACAGATTCAACTTAAGAACAAACCTACAGTCCCTATCTTGTACGTAACCCGGGGACTGCCTGTATATGTGTACAGGTTGAACCTCTCTAGTCCGGCACCCTCAGGATCTGACTGGAGCCGAATCAGAGAATTAGCTGAACCACAGGAGGTCGATATTGTCTAGGAGCATTACCAACATATCCACTGCTTACTGGGCTCTTAGAAGACATTTAGGGGTAAATTAGAGCTAAATAACAATGGAAAACATTGAGAGCCAAGACTGATGCTGTAAACAAATGTTATGTGACCATGGGACACTTGCCCACACCCATGATAAATGCACATCCGACTAACTAAAATCATGCCAGACCATGGATGCTGCTGAATCAGAGAGTGCCAGACTAGAGAGGTTCAACCTGTACACAGTAAAAATAAGTGTTCAAGTCCTCTCTACTTCAGAGTTTATGGCTCCAACCAATATAAATTTCAACAGACCAAAATGTTTTTACTGTTAAATCTAACCTACTTCACATCATCGTTTTTATTGAAGTGTTAAACTATTTTCAAAAGCTGAGACATTAATTTCAGCAATTTTAAGTAGTGAAGAGAGAACCAAAAATGGCTGATGTTCTGTTTTTAATGGTATAGGATTGGCACTCCTGTGCTATCTTTGTAAGACCTGAAAATCTAGCAAAGAAATCAGTGGAAGAAGAAAATTCTTTTAAACAATCCAACAGGATCTCATATCGCACAGCTCCCCTTTTAAGTACAGTTGAACTCATATGTATACCCTAATTTCCATCCCCCACCCTACATACACTGGTTAAGATATATTCATAATACTGTAGTGTATAAAAAAAATTGCACATAATTTGGAGTTGGGCTACCAGCCCAGTTCTCCATCTGCAGATTTAAAGAAGATATGCTCCAGATTCAGGCTGAAATTTTCTTTAAACTGCCTGATAAATCTG